GGTTGGTAACATGCTCATAAGCTACATTTTCTTTCTACAATGCATTTGGTGCTGTAACTCGCAATGACTCCTAGTTGGTATGGTTGGAGTATGAGTAAAAATGGCCCTATTATGTCTGGTAACCGTAAGGGTTTGATATGGGCGGACATAAGCACATGACCAATGTTGAGTATACTTGTCAGTTTATTTATTTATTGGATTGTTCTCTATGGTCTGAAGAACCCTATTGAATTTGGATGCCACCCTCAATATTTTGACTCTTCTGTTTGGTCACAAGTGGAGATATGGGTGAAAACATAAGAATAGTGGTGGCCATTTTGAAATTCAAAACGATGGCCAAAGAGGCGGCCTAAAAAAGGGCTTATCAGCAAATGTTGTGAAATCTTTCTTCATCCTTTCGATTTGTTTTTCACTTAACTTTGTCAGACTTTTCTCTATTGGTTTTCTTATTGTTCAAGTTTTGAAACATCATAGGCTGCTTGACCTACTTTGTAGGATTACTATTTTTATGTACAACAACATTGCTGAATCTCAAACTGCTGCAGCCTGTATTCCTGGAAGCCAGGAGGGGACAGAAGGGGTTTGCGCGTGATGTGCGCGTAATAGTCTGTAAGCCTATTCCATTTATTAAAAGGGGGTTTTCATAAGGAAATTTTTTGTTTAAAGTTCCTATCTCCAGTGTTTCCATTATCTGCAAGGATTGCAAGAAATTTTTCTATTTTTAATACGTACGCCAGGCTTTTGTTTTATGGAGATTCTAGAAAAGGATTCCCATTTCAGTTTCTCGATCCAGCCATGGATCCTGCATGCAAACACGTTTGTAATGCTGTGATCTCTTTTAATTAACACCCCTAAATTCTATGCATAACAACGATTTAATTTGTTAAACTCCCACCTCCAACATTGATTTTTTTTTTTTTTTATGATTAGAGACGTCACCTTCTGACTGTAGTCGTTAAAGGAAATCTTTCCCTTCCACATGACCCTTTTTCCACAACATAATAAAAAATGTGATGCATCCCATTCAAATTTTGTCCATTGCTTTTGGGTACGCATATAGTCAAAGAATTCTTCACGTTCGATCAAAATTTCAGTGCGTGGAGATGCAACATGCACCACCAACCGTTGCACGCAAACATGTGTGCGGGCAATGCGTTGGCAGGTTGGCATGATACTGTCATAAAGGAACTACAAGTTAGCAAATGCAAAATATCTCTCCTGAAGACAATTTTCATCTCAATACGAGATTTCTGTCATGAGTGAGAGTCCCATATAAGAAATATATCATACAGGTTTAAACACTCCAAGTCACAGTTGAAATTAATAAATTATCAATAAAAATTATTGCTGGCTGTTCATGGTTCATGGTCCATGTTCACGCAGTTAAGAAACAAAGGATGTGCACGCCATCGCTGCACAATACTGAATGAGAAGAGTTTGAACGTAGGGGGCGCTTGTCGCACAACACCCTCCTGTCCCCCCCTGCCTGGAAGCATTGTGTTTGTTGCTTTTATCATAGCACTCGCAAACAGTACAATACATACATTTGCGTGATGTATCAAAGATCAGCCATGGATTGCCATCTTTCCAAGAGTCATGGAAGCGATACACCTTGCAGTGCTTATGGTCATGTTTTGGCCCACCATTGTAAGAAGACGAAGCCAAAGAGGAAGGACATTATCATTTGTACATTAGTATTGTTGACATCACTAGTCTCACCACTTGCACACGATTCTGCTGGTGCACAGCTTTTTTCCCCAGATTGATAAGATATTAATTTTTTATTGAGGTTTTCAGCACTGATGAACTGTTTTTTTCTAAGGAGGCATTTTTAACTGACCATGGCACAGATGACGGATGGCAGTCTAACGAGTCATGCTTACAAACTTTCAACCAGTCATATTGCCCATAACTGTAACAGCGAGCTTGCAATACAATACACGTGAACGCACAATATACAGACCTGAGGGGTACTTTCAGTTGCTCAATAGTGCGATACCCCAGTCTTTTTACTGTCATTTTTTAATGTTGCCACTATGTTGCTTGCGTGGTGAATTACACGAAGTCGGAACGTTGAAGAAGAAATTGTTTACAAAACAGCCACAAGCTTTTGTGTGCGCATGGTTTGGTGACACGTGCCATCGTATGCACAGCGTGCTGGATAGTCTTGCTTCCACGATGCCCTTAGCAGTACATTGTTACTGATGGTTCATGTGAGGTGTGTGCAAGAGCACACACTGTAAATGTATGTGTACTAGCTGAAAACCATGTGGCACCGTGGGTTCGTTAACCAAATAAAAAGCAACGACTTGGAACCAAGACTACATGCTAGAAGGATCCACATAGTTGTTGTTGCATGTTTAATGAATCGAATAGATCACATGCGCGTTGTGGCTAGTTTTTCAACGTGCTGAATTATGATTTCCAGTAGGTAAAGTTGATAAACCTTACTTATTATTTTGGTAAAGCCACAAAAAAGTATGTGCACAATAGGCACATTGTACCAGAGGGTTTACATGCATTGGGGAAAAGTATACATGTATGCGCCTGTGCATGCGTGCACCTGTCTTAATCAACCACTGCATGCTAGTATACTCCCACATCAACCTCCTCTGCATGCTGCCGCACTCTGAACCCAAGAAGGTTGTTCTAGTGGCCATCGGTAGTATCTACATGTATAACGAAAAGAATACGCTGCTCAAGCTCAATGGAGTCGTGCCCTATATAGCTCTGTGACTTAAGTAAGGAAACGTGGTTGTTGCCTACTCAAAGAAAAGTTTCTCCCACCTGTAGGTGTAGCCCAGTAGCACAACAAGGATAAACGGCTGTCTATGAATATCAGAGACAAAACAAAGCTCGACTGCCCAGCACACGTCCGACCTGCCACAACCTCTTAGCCGGCCACCCACTCTGCTACCTGTCAGCAATGACAGCAACAGCAAAACCATGCAGGTCATTGAGCTGTTTGGGGAACAAGACCCTCTGATCTTTGCCCTTACCCGACGCTTAATGAAATAGATGCAGGGACTTGATGAGAGACTGCATGGGCTCGAAGTACATGCCACATGTCATTGTCTGGGATGAGGCGGCACGGTGCCCCAGCCAACCGTCAAGACTTTCCTTAACTACTCCTTGCCGGGACCCCGATTTCAGGCACATAGGCAGGGTTACCCCTTAGCGGTCGTCTGCTCGCCAAATGGGAGTGAAAACAGTCACGGGTGAGCCAAAGCACTTCACTCAGTTGTGTGGCGGGCGAGTTAAAATATGTACAAATTCCTTGTTTTTCTGATGTGATTAAAGAAAATAAAACAAAGTCTTGATTTCAAAGCTTTACCTTTTGTCTGTCATGAATGTAACTTTAATTTATTGGAATCAAATAAACCCCAACATTGCTTCTGACTCGCACCTGGAATCCCATATTGTGTGCTGGGACTACGTGTACATTGTACCTAGTACCTATCATCAACGTATCAATGATAGTTTCTCCAGTAGTCAGTGACCTGTATACATGACCAATATAATTAGCATACAATTTGTACTGGGAACCAGATACTAAAAACTGATACTGCATCCAGAGACTGGTGCAATCAGGTTCGTAAGTGACTTCACTGTACCACTGATTGTAAGCCCCTCATTGGACAATCATGCCGGGTGAGTGAGTAGGGAACGGGAACCAGTCTACCCAAGAACTGTTATCACCCCATGTGATAGCGGTTGATAGAAACGTCTTAGTGGACCAACCTTCTTAAGTCAAAAACCTGCTTTATTTGTTATTTTTTTCACACATTTCATGGGCTAGTAAAAATCTCTGCATGCTAGTAAAAATCACAGTTTACTAGCCCGCCGAGCTACTGTCAGAAAAAATAAAGGGCAAGCCCTGCACATAAGCCTTATACACGAAACCAGGGAGTCCGAAACCGGACAAAAGAGCAAGACCCTGCAACAAAAGACCGTACTCGGAACAAAAGATCGAGCTGTTAGAAATTGCTAAGATTTTTTTTAGATGTCTAAAAGAGGAGGAAAAAAGCTGTCATTGTTTTTAAAAGATTATACCACTGTTTGTGGCATTCAGCACAAGCAGATTGCCACTGTGGACAGAAGTGCTCCAGCACTCCAGTGATGAGCAATACAATACCTCTGCATGCTAATCTGGCCCCTATTGAAAAGATGCCAGCTGTGCACTGTGCCAGTTTGGGTAACAAAAGAAACTTATGTAACACTGCACAATCTGGGCTCTTTTTACAAGGGGGCCTGCCTGGCTGAAATACTTGGGCATCAATAGATGTTGTCTGTTAGATTAGAGTAGACACCAGACAGTTATTCATGTGGGTGCAAACATCCAGCAGATGAAGTTATGATTTTTTTAAGAATTTTGAAAACGGAAAATCTTGAAAATATCCTGGTTTTATGTCATGCAACTTCAAATTCCACGTAACAGCAAGTGGTAAACTGACTCCAGCAGTGGAACATCCAGGTTGTCGGCTGTGGCAACCACCACCCATTGTGGTTGAGATACCGCATAACTGGTTATGCCAACAGCAGCCTACTACAAGGAAGTCAAGGCAGACTGCAGGGTAATAGATAATGTTCTCAAGGCCTCGAAAAGGCATATCCGTCTTAAGCGTGACAGAGGTCTGGCCATCTAATCTCACCCCTGTTGCATCCATCAAGTAGGGCGGATGCCCCTATCTTTTAATTTTATCTTGACTGGAACCTTGTATTTATGTTTTATATTACTTGAATATATAATACTTCAATTAAGTAATAACAAACAACAACATTTGGCAAAAAAAAAGGCTTTTCACAGGAGTGCTAGTATGCACAATTGACAAAGCCAGAGAAGACCAGTCACCCAGTTACATAGGCTAGGGCCAACTTTGAGGGATATCCAGCTCCTTTAGATGCTCTGAGCGGTATTTTTTTACTGCAGAATTCTGATCCTGTATCTCATAATTTGTTTATTACAGTTTTCGTATATATCATGTCTTTTGTATTTGCAGGTAACCGTGACTACTTGATCCTGCCATTGCATTCTCAGATTCCCAGGGAGGACCAGCACCGAGTCTTTGAATCAGTACCAAAGGAAGTGACAAAGGTATACACACTCAACAGTATTATATCATGCTCTTTACTATACTTTTACAAGGGCTTGTAATTTACTGCAGCTATCATGTTTCCATGTTTAGTGTCCATGCTTCAAGAAAAAGCAAGAAAAGCACAGTGCGTTTTCAATAGTCGAATCAAAGATCCTGTCATTTATCTTCCACACAACTCGTAGACTGCAGAGCATTCCGGACTGCATAAACAATGCACACACAAAGTTAAACTGCAGAACAAATATGGACAGGTGCTTTCTCCCTCTAAAAAGTATAGTTTTCCATGGTCAAAAAGACGTGTGTGTAAATTTACCTTGGATTAATGCACCTCTTTCAGTACCATAAAATGCGGTTGACCCTTCAACATACATCAAGCAGTAACATTGTTGCTGTCAAGGTAATGTGCGTGCACCACCACCATTGGGTTAACACATGGTCAAAGAGAATCCAAAACAGAAGATATTGTGGCTGGGAAAAGGAATAGAAGTTTTGACATCTGGAAATTGTGGATCTTATTCATGAAAATTGGTGTTTCATTGTGCAGTTCAGGCATGGCAGCCGTGTTGCCCAAGTACCACACATTAGGCAGTTTAAGTCATACTATTTTTCCTCTGGATTGGTAGTAAGATAGCAATATCTTTGGAATGGGGCAAGAAAATTCTTATTTTAATTTTTGTCTAATAAATAAAATTTAGCTTCAACCTGAGCCAAATTCTTGGGGGGCATGCATCTTACATTTTTTTCCCCCTTCGTTCAGTTCATCTTGTGTTTGGGCATATTGATTTGGTGTTTTGTTTTGACAGCTTTAGCATTACCCATTCTAAATATTTACCCATTGATTTAGGCTGTTATTTACAAGTAAGGTATTTAAATATTATTTTGCAGTTCAGCTTCCAGATTTTACTACTATATTTTACTACGCCACTATAACGAACACGACAGGGTCCACACTAAATGTTTGGTACATGGGTCGTTCGGTGTAGCGAAATTAACTGCCAAACATTTCGTTGCCATGTTGAATAGCACCCTCTCTTGTCTAACTGAAGTGCACCCTCTTGTGATACTATGATTCGCTGTTTTCGTGATGTTTTGCCGTTGCATTCAAGTTTGAGGTTTCTAGAAATGTATCTGTTAATTATTTTTGTTTTTTATTAAATCTTGAGTTATAAAATTGCTATTCTAAAAGTCATCTAAAAGTCGAAGCTACTGCTCAGAATCAATCTCTGATGCATGCTGTGGTGAACCTCGGTTGATTTGTAACTACATGTACATACTGTTCGGTAGCTTTTGTGCACACAAAATATCGGGAGCCAAGGACGATGTTTGGTACTACCGAATGTTTGGTATAGCGTCGTTCGGTATCGCGACATTCAACTGTAGTGTATACAGTCTTTAATATTATCTGTAATCATGAATACTTTAACATGTAAAATTCCAAAACTTTTAACAAATTTTCCAGAGAGAGCTCGCTTTGAATTGTTGAATTAGTGTAGGAATAACCAATACTAAGCACTGCTGAGCCAGTAAAACAGAAAAGTTTGAATCAATAGTAGCATTCACTCAAAATCCAACTGCTATATTCAAGTCTGAAAATACAAAATGATAAGTTATAAGGAGTTTGGTTTGAGTCGGTAGCTGGAAATGATAACAATGGTGTCAAATTTTCCCTTTCCTACAAAGGATGGGAAAATTTGTAAATGGTTATAAGACGAGGATTGTGTTTTTATTATATATTTTATTATTAATTTTCCTTCATACATGTACATTCAGCTTCTGAAGGGAACTTTTGTCAAATTGACTTTGCCCTTTTGGCTCCTGGCCTTTTTCATTCCCAGTTAACGTTGGCAGGGTGATCGTGTGGCCAATCTAGGTTGGAACATTGTACATCTCTGTAGGCGTCATCTCCAAATTGACTAACCATTTTTCCATGCATTGTCCACTTTTTCCAATCGGTCTGACTTTGCTAAGTATAGGGGAAATCCGCAGACACGACGGAGGTGTGCACTAAAGCATGAGGGGTTTAATTAGGCAGGAGGCCGTGTGCTCATTTGTCATCAGTACAAAAAGGATCCTGAATAAGCATGATTTCTCCGGAACTCATGAATACCGACAGCATTCTGCGGAAAAGATGTTCCCCCATTACCAGTATCAACATTTATTAAAGACGATGGGGTTGCTACGGTCGTTTAGAAATTTTTTGCCCAACTTTGGTTCAGGTTGGGACATGTACATGCATGTGTATACGTACATGTACATTTATTGTACATGTACATGTGCAATGGTCAATGCACATTGAGACTCATTGAGAGCTCACTACAAATGTGCCATAGTACTTTGTGTATTAATGATACATTAATACGAGTATTGAATCTCCTTCTCCATCCCATATCCATGAGCAACTTTGATTTCAACAGTTTTACACATTTTCCAAAGTTTATTCTGTGGAATGTTATCGTCGGAGACAGTGTGACTTTTCCAAATGTGTTTTGCCAACCCAACAATTGTGTTAATCACGCTTGACTCAACAGAACGATTGTACATGTGAGATATGTGAAAACTGCAAAACCAGTCAGCATTCTTTTCCAGGACTACAATCTTGTCCAAGTTGCAATTTAGAATTTTCCATCAGTCTTTTTTTTTTCCAACAGATAACGGCATTTTATTTTAAGTCTGTGAACAACTTACAGCTGTGGCAAAATTCTTTCACAACATTTAACTATTACAATTTTGACCAAACGAAAGCAAAGTTTATTGGCCCCTGTGCGTGCACCAACTCTCATCGAGTGCTGAAATGCTGCTATACTCCACCTGTCAAAATCGTTTGTTTTTCCTCTGGAGTTGCCTTTGATCGAACGCAAGTCCAACTACAATCAGCATCCAGTCAAAATTTGCTTTGTGTGTTTATTTATGACATCATTGACCTAATATGGAACTTTAATAAATGCGTGAATATTGGAGATTGGCACAGGTAATATTGGTCATTGGTCTGAAATACATATGCACAATTGGATGTAGTGAGAATTTAGTACTGTTCTGCAGCTGAAATGGCTATACATTGCATGTTCTTGGTTGGTTATTAGTGAATTCTCACCACATGCATTTTACACCATCATGTGATCCGGGGCCGTAGGAAATTTACTGTACATACCCGCTATACGCACCACGCGTATTCACACATCTGCCGAGCATGGATGCGGCATGCACTGAAACTCATTTCCCATTATCAAGTTTTCTGAAGCACATTCCGTTTGCTGTCAATGCCATGCCATATCGAAGCTGAACATCCAAACCAACCATTGCATGTGATTTGGTTTGGTTCGAAAGTGCCATGTTCTATGATTTTGGGCTCGATCGGGCAGTTTGGCTGCAGCACTTACTGTCACTCTTGAAAGGTTGTTTAGCCGCTTGTCTCTTTTCTTTGTTCCTCCACTGGGTGTTGGTAGGCATATCGCGTGCTCGTAAAACTTTAAAATGAAACTTCTTAAGGGCTGTAACTAGTCTGCAGATCGACATTAACGGTAAACTGTCCTGACAAGCAGGAACGTCCTGTGCGGTCCATTGTGTTATGTAAGACAAATTACATGAGTTGCACTTTGAATGTTAAAAGTGAACATCATTTTTCTCAATTTTTCTCAGAGCAGTGTACTCAAAAGCTGAAATACGTCCCTTGAATTGATGAACAAAGTAAGTCACAAATCCCCAAATCGGTCAATTTCAGCAAACTACAGTACATGCAAATTCTGCTCAGGACTTTAAACGTATGCATCCATTTCAGAATTCCCACCAGGGCGGCTGATGAACTTCAGAAAAAAAAAACCTTGTGATTTTCAAGTTGGCAGCAGATATGCATTTTTGTCTTGTTCTCATTCTGAAATGTACCTTTCTATTTGACATCAAAATGATCAAGTAAATGTTGAAGCTTTACAGGTTCTATTATCAGAAATTTCACCTCTGATATCTCCAAATATATTTTCAATGTACATGTTCAAGCTTTTTAGCCAAAAAGAACAAAAACCATGACTTGCACCCCCCAACGAACACACACATTAGAATTCAAGGTATTTACACCTTTTTCACCTTGTGCGTGAGTGCACTTTTGTGTTTGTTTGAGCAGCAGCTTCACACAGTACAAGTGCTTGCAATTCAGAGCATTTTTCCAACACTTTTTACTATTTATACAAGTTTACCTAGTTAGAACCTAAAATAAAGAAAAGAACACTTTTAGTCTGATATAAATTGTGTGATGAACCATTATCACTCCTCTACCTCTTCCATCGCATCTGGGCAAGTATAGACATTAATTGCATCAATGAGATCTTTTCGTAGCATGTGACCATGCGGGCCCATAGCTGTGTAGGGTATTTGGTTGTCTTGTACTATTTGTAAAAGCTGATGGTATGTTTTACACGCAGTATTTTTAAATGGGCACTGACTCGCTTGGATCGCATGTATGAGTTCTTGTTTAGCATGTTGGCGGCGTCTTTGTGTTGGTAGGGATGTATTATACTGTCTGACAAAATCAGATAAAAATTACTTTTTATAGTATCTCAAGTTAGATAACATGGGTCAATAGCGTGGCCTGGCATCCCTATTATTGATGTGTTCATTTTGTTTTATATTACTTATTTAATATTATATTTACTTTTTTTCAATGTAATTTAACCCACTCAAATTTTAGAGTGGGATATTTTCTATTTAGTTTTTTAAAGATTTCGTTTAGCTTTTATTCTTTAATGGTACATACCCAGCACTTTGACTTATATTTACAATGCTCACAAGATAGATCTTGAGGTGTGTAGCTTTTGGTATTTCTTGCTACTTCTTTGGTAACTGGTCTACATTCGCAACAGTTATATTTATACAACCCATGTGTACAGGTACACCGCTTTTATTACCTGCTAAACATTTCATTTCATTTGTATATGTTTTGTTGAGTTTTAATTTAAACTCTGAAAGTGGTTTTTTTTTTGTAGCAATGGTTACACTTTTTGATTTCTATGTTCATTTTGATTTTAGTGTTAAGAGATATTTTTTTGCACTTTAAGTCATGGAAGCGTGATGATATTTTTCAATTTTTTAACTGCTGGAGAGGGGGTTGGGTAGGTATTCAGGGGAAAGGGTGTGTCCAGAATTTTCTTAGTAGCTACTATGTTTACCTTCTGTTTTTCCGCTAGATCATTTTGTCCACCAACATTGCTGAGACCAGCATCACCATTAATGATGTGGTGTATGTGATTGACATCTGCAAGTAAGTCTCCCCTTTGCTTGTGGTGAAATACTTAGGGAGTCTTTTTCTTTTAAGGACTCCAGTGTGAAAACCTATAATGGTATGCTTTGGAGGGGTTGTTGCAAGGCCACAAAATTACATTTTCCATTATGAGTTCATTAGTTCAAAAAGCTACACATTTATATTTTCCTACATTTTTAAAGGCACAAAGCACAGGGTTATAAATCAGTAATTTTGATTAAAAAAGCAGGAAAAACACGTATAGATATTCATAATGTTGATATCTGAAATGTGTGGTGTGTGAAAAATTACATTTTTCCTGCTAAATGGATGTAGAATTCTGCCAGTAAACCAAATTTGATTTTTATTGTTCTCCATGTGCCATTCATTTCAAGGGGGGGTGGGGATGTGATGCAGTGGTTAGGGTGTTATTGCTTCTGATCATAAAGTTAGGGATTTGAATCCAGCTGGTGGCAGCCTGTTGTGATCTTGGGCAAGTCACTTTACCCCCTTATGTGCCTTGCTTCATGCAGAAGTAAATGGGTACCTGTGAGGGCAGATACGGTTATGGTTAGCCATTTGCACCGAAATGGCAACATCGGGTTAGTATACTCCCCAGGAGCTGAGATGGTTTCACAGAATGTTCAAACATTGTGAGCACAATGTACAAGGTTCATAACAACAGTGCCTTGAGGGATGTAAACGAGTTCGCCAAACAGGTGGCATGGGCGACTTGCTTTGCCTTGCCATCCAATGCCACACTGCAGGGTTATGCAAGTGGTCGTACCATTGGTTGGTTGCCCCTGCCTTTGTACTGCTCGTCTACGGGCTTCCTTAAGATCTTCTACCAGCCTGTTTCCACCCCGACTTTCAGTCGCTGACGTTTCATAACCTGCCCACAGTCAGAGAGTGTAACTGCTTGACTGGCTCAGATGGAGGTACTATGTGACAATGTATTATTAGTACCTTGGCTATTCACTTTGCTATGGTTCAGACCGTTCCTCTTGATAGTCACAGTGTTTGGCGGTGGCCCCATTCACTCCGGGTTACACGTCATGTAACTTGCGTAGTGGCTGGTATACCCCTACATTGACCGTGTTTAATGGACAATCCGGCTGTGGGTGATCAGGGTTATCCTACATACCTCATCCTAGAGTAGTTCCCAAATCCTTTGGGGTTGGTTGGCTTTCGGCTATGGCTTCTTTCTCAGTCTCCGTAACTTAAAGATGGCGGCTGCAGCCTGCTCCCATTCCGAGCGAGATCTATAAGCATCCGGGATCGGCCCTCTCTGGCCTGTTCTTCACGCAGGGACACCGAGCCCTTGGGTCTATTCCGTCGTTAGGGCTTTCGGCCTCCCCCATTGCTGCCAGGCCCCATCGTTTGCAGTGGCTGTAGAATTTGAACTCCTCACAGTCGGGTATCACTGGGTGTGGCCCGCTCGACTGTGTTTGTTGCTTCTTGCCAAGTGTTTCTTTCTTTTTGAGGTCGGTCGGGTTTTGGCAACAATTTCTCACCCAACCACCGTAACTCAAAGATGGTGGCTCAGGCCCATTCCAATGCCAGTAGAGACCCGTCAGCTTCCGGAACTGGGCCCGCCATGGTCTATGTGGCCCACATGGGAATGCCAGGCCCTCAAGTGTACTCCGATGTCGGGGTTTTCAGTCTTCCTCCATTGCTGGTCCCCTTCTGGGAGTCTCTGTACCTGCTTGCCGTTCTCTGGCTCCGGTTTAGCGGGACAACTCTCCGGCTCTTTCTTCCAACCAAGTGTCTCACTGAGCATCCTACACCTCCAGCCACTGCCCTCAGCCATTCTTTATCTGGGGCATTCTGGCGTGGGTAGACACTACACGCTACCAGGCTGCCCTCAGTCGTAGCCAATGTGGCCCTGTTTGACATAATATGGGTAACGCAGGCATGATGCAGACTACAACACAGATAGCCGGTCTGCGCTACTCTCTACCAGGCCACTCTACAATATACATTCTCTTCTGCGGTGGCCTCCAGTTAATTTGACACTGAGTCACGTACTCGGTGTGAGCCATAACTGAAATCATTTTTATCACTACGCTACGTATCAGCCCCCGACTGACACTTGACTATCTCTGGGGGTGCTGTACAGGGAAACAGAAGTGCACTGTCCTGTTTGACTCCCCTTCATTCCCTGGGCTGAACTGGTGATTACGACTTGGCCTAGGCACGAGCAGCCTACCAGGTGTGATCTGGGGCGGGATGTGGGCATATCCAAAGTGCACTTGCTGTCACTGTTACGAGGTTCGACAAGAGTGTTTCTACCATTGGCAGCAAATTTTGGTATGAGTGTCCCTTGGGTTCTCTCTTCCAATCATGCCAGCATGATCGATATGAAGAAGTATACGCGGCAGGGATTTGTTTATTTTTCAAGTATATACTTGCGTTCATTGAACCGGGAATAATTCGGAATATCAGAGTTGTTAACTATTTCAAAGATGGATTTGCGCCGGGAGATGAGATTAATTTTGGATTTTCGGTTTCGTCCCACCCGACGTGTATTTTAAACACTGTATGCTCAGTGTATGCCCCTGAAGGCTTTTGAGAAAAAAAACACAAGTGTATTCGGGTAGGACTTGAACCCACGACCTCCTGCTTTCTAGTGCAGATGTCTTAACCACTTGACCACCGAGCTTGCCGATGTCAGCTGGCTGATTTGAATCAGATGTAGCAGTGGGTATAGGGAACAACTATTTCGAAGATGGATTTGCGCCAGGGAGACGAAATTAATTTTGGATTTTTTTTTGCCCTACCTGATGTTTATTTTTAACACTGTATGCTCAGTGTATTCCCCCCAAAGGCTTGTGAGAAAAAACCACAAGCGTACTTGGAGTTGTTTACATTCCCACTGTAGTTCTGGTCCCTAATGTGGAAATTTTAGAGGTCAAATAGGCAGGACAGACATTTGTTACCAATATGTTTATTTCTCACAGATGCTCCATTGAGAGCAAGCTTCAATCTCATCGCCCGGATGCATGCGCTCAGACTTTGATTCCCCATGCATGTGGTAAAATGGCTGAAGTTCATTCAATACAGGAACTTCCAAGGCCATTCTAAATTTAAGACAAAACTTATTTTTTCATTCTCCAGAAATGCTTCACCATCATTCACATGTACTGGAGCTGTTCATTGTCACTAAGCCCAACTTCCACCCGACCTAGCTAGTCTTCCGGCAATGACTCCTCGCTCAATGAAGATAAACTTTTCTCCAGTCTGCGACCCTTTTCATTGTTCATAGCTCATCAGAGTACCTTCTTTTACAGCTTGATAGCATTTTCCCCTGTTGTCCAGCTTTCACTGCAGTCTTACTTGGGGCACAGAAGATATGTCACCTCCCTCTAGATAATTCATGAGGTTTTCATGTCTATCCACACCTACACGTAAGACTTTGCCCAGGAATAGGTGTGGTGAACTTCCCATGTGAAAGGGTTAATTTAATTCCATCTCTAGACGGGAAAAACACTAACTGGTGGACTCAAAGATTTGGAGGAGATACAGTGGAACAGTTCTGGTCCTCCTTCCCTCGCCAGTTTTTTACGCACCGGTCGAATCCCGCTTTGCCTCTTCATCAATCTTCATGGGCAGCACTTGGGAGATAGACCAGAGGGAATGTTGACACTGTTCCCATCCCCGTTGGTCTGCTTCTGGTTACATTGACGTGCAGGTGCCTTTGCAGATGCCCAAAGTCAAGGCACTCTCTACAGTAGCAAGGTTCTAGAAGATGTTTCCTCAGCCAAATGAGTACCTTTGTCTGCTCATTCAGCTACCCTCTTGCAGTCATATCTGCCCTTCGTTCAACTGCGGTCTTTATTGAATTCCAATCTTTGTTGGTACAGGTAATTGTTACAGGTGCATAGGTTCCTGTAACAGCAACTCGGCCCCTGTCAGGTTCAACCCAAGCTTTGTTGGGATGTTGTTTTACTTCCCACTCCGATCTTTCCATCGGAATTCCAGTGTCCTAATTCTACGATTATTGGCCTTTTACATTCTCTGATCCAACTATGTTCCTCTCTTGCCCTTCACCTGGGCCTTTATCCCATAAGCATATCTTTGGCCCGAGGATGAATTCCTTCCACCCCCCCCCAAAAAAAACACCTGATACCTCTTACCATCAAGACACACCTGTTAACAGTTGAAGCTGACAGATCGGCCTTCAACTACTGGTTTCTACTGGCTCTTCCTGATCTTCATGAGGTACACCTGTCCCCAAACTTCCAAATTTCAGGCACAGGAGTAGATTGGTTAGTACATTGTTGCTTCACCAGATAAATTACACGGAGGTGCTCTCTTGCTACGCATTGGCCTTCTGAAAAAACTTTTTGTTAGTGTATATTGGCAGTTATCTGCATGGCTATATGCTAGATAACACTACAACCATTTACATGTACCTCAGGCTACCCTTAACATGGGCTTGCAATTCGTTCTGCAGAGACGTACTGATAATACATGCTTCCCAGCATTAAGAAAAGAGTATTGTTAGATGAGAATCTCTGTAACAAGTTCTCAGAGAATTTAACTACACTCTTAGTCCTTAAAGAAGACATGTCACGTAACCTTAAGAAAAGACAGTATTTCAGAAATCCCAGGACAGAATTTCATTTAAATTGAAACTCCCAGAAGACATGGGCATTTATATTTTGAAGAATTCCCATATGTCTTCTTCAGGGTGTGCAGTCTATTTCTGATAAAGCACAAGCTGTGTAAAAAGAGTCAATTCGTAAGTGTGATGCTGGTCGTATATTTTGCCATGTACAGGTACATGTATTACTATAATATAGTATAATACCATTATGTTACCGTGCAATATCACATTTTTTCATCAACTGTGCTAACTTTGAGAAGACCTGGAAAGCAAACAAAATATATTGTGCCTCAGGTTTTTAATATTTTGTAGAGAACTAATTGGGTTTTAATTTTTACCCAAGTTTAAATAAAGGTCATGCGATCCAGAAGGTCAAATTGCTTTTACATAATATATTAATCACTTGCTGCCAGGTGGTTTGAAAAATGCAATGCACACAAATGAGACATTGTGAAGATTTTCAATTTTCTAAATTCTTCAAAAATTCATCATTTCAATGAATGGACATTTACACCCAGACAAATGACTGTCTGGTGGCTACTCTAATCTGACAGACAAAATCTGTTGATGCCTGAGTATTTCAGCCAGGTCTGCAGCCTTGTGAAAAGAGCCCAGATTGTGCAGTATTATGTAACTTTCGTTTGTTCACGAACCTGTCACAGTGCGCTGCTGACCTCTTTTCAAAGGGACCAGATTAGCATGCAGCAGTGCTGTGTGGCTCATCACTGCGGTGGTGGAGCGCTTTTGTCCCCGGTGATAATCTGCTTGTGCTAAATCCTCAAAACTGTAGTATACTGTTTCAAAACAAGGCTGGATTATCTCCACTATTGAGAGAGAAAAATGTTGGTAATGCCCAGCAGCCTGGTCTTTTGTTACGAGTACGGTCTTTTGTTACAAGGCCCAGTTCCCTTTGTCCAGTTTTGGAGACCCCGGCCACACGTATAAAGCATACGTGTCCGGTACAGGAAACCCCGGCGGCATGTGGTTAGGGGCTTTGGAGTCCTTTCATAATTACCTTTGGAAACATACCAGTATTAACAACTTTGCTAATTGATTCTGGAGATGAAGTGATTTAAAAAATGGTGGTTAAGTCCATTTTCGCCTAATCGACCAAAAATGGTGGTTGTTACTTGAAAACTGTTAGTGCAACAGGGCCGAAACTAGAAATTTCAGCTTTTTCAGACAAAATTACCTCATAAGCCAAAAATGAACCAGTTTTAAGGGGTCAAGTTTAAGTGATGATCGTGATTTGACGTGGAATGACTCAGTAAAGTCAGTTCAGTTTTAGAATGTCCTGGCCCAAGTTTGCTCCTCAAATTTTTCACTTTTGCTCTATGCAAAATGAAGCAGTGATGTACACATTTGCTCAAACGTCACATGTTATTAAGTGCAAATGAGTTCATTTCAGGGCAGGAAAACTGTTTTCTAATTTTGGGGTGTATGCCCCACTTTTGACCCTATAAAAAAGAAAAAGATGCTTATGTGAGTGTATTTTACCAAAATTGCTTTTGAGAAATTTTCTAAAATCTTAAAACTGAAACTTATCATTACAATAATATTTGTCTTGCTTGCTGATTATATGAGTGAAACTCTTTTGCAGTACATACTGTAGTAAATATCTTGAGGTCTTTTACTCACAATTAGCCCGTCATTTGTGTAGAACGGATATATCTTTAACATTTTCTCTGGATTTGTTCTGTTACAGAGCTAAGACAAAGCTTTTTACATCCCACAACAACATGACCAATTATGCCACCATCTGGGCATCCAAGACCAACCTGGAACAACGGCGTGGCAGGGCTGGTCGTGTGCGCCCAGGTTTCGCATTCCACCTTTGCAGCCGGGCACGCTTTGACAAGTTTGTAATTTGAATTGTTTTATTTGTAAAAACTAAAAAAGTGACAAGGAGTAAAGTACCATTATTTTTGGGATATAGGCCACATGGAGTATAAGCTGCACCAAGCAAAATCTGCAAATGAAGATGTAAAGTTGAGGTATTAGCTGCGCCATTGTATAAGCCACACTGTATGCTAATGACAACGTCACATAAGTCATCACACCTACAGCACTGCTGATGAAGTGTTAGTACTTGTACATGTACATTGTGGACTATTACTTGGCATGATTGGATGTTCACTTGACTTTATTCATATAGTGCAGCCAAACCTCTTAGTCAAAAAACTTCAAATCGAGTCGGTTAAATAGTGATGATATTGCCTTCACGATACAGGCTTTTGACCCTTTGTGAGCTATTTCATTGTCATGGAATTTCGTCAGCAATTCAAACAGAAAGTGTCCGGAACTTGGGCGAGAATTCAGCTGAATGAGCCCTAATCTGTCGCCCTTGAAAAATCTCTGAAAATCCCACAAAACATTTCAGAAGTTCTTTAAACTTGATATTACATCCACTAACATACCCACCCCCCAAAAAATTGTAATAACAAAATTGGGGGTCGCATTTGAAAGAGTTGGGGAAACAATTGAATTATCTGGCCTAAATAAATTGTCATCGAAACTTTGTAGCAGTCATATGAAATTGACATTTATGAATCAGAATACTTGGAGTTTGATCAAATTTCACCTTTTGTGAAACTGGCGGTAAAATATTAATCCAATAATACATTAACATTAAAGGGAGAACATTTAAAGTGCCCATATTGGGGCCCATGCCACTTTCGGGTTCACAATCTTCAGGTACATATATAAGCAGCGTGTGAAAGAGTGTTTCGGTACTTATGGTACATTTACAAGTCTGTTCAGTCCCTCTGGACTGGTTTCCTTCATTTCCAACACGCGAGAAGAGCCAATTTGAAGGGCAACCAACAAAAACATGACTGTCTTGTCCCCATGCCTGCAGCGCAGCTCCACTTGAGTAGTAGGGGTGAGCCAATTTGAAATCAGTGACTCCAGCACTGTGTCTTCACAAATCAGACCTCATAACCCCATTCCAGATCACTGTAATTCCCCGGGACTCTCTCACTTCTCGGGAAATCGGCTCAGCCCCCGAACACTCCGGAAAAAAGGAGATTAAATCTAAAGACCACAGATAAAACAGAGACATGAACATTCCACTAAAATCACAATTTTTTATTCCACTAACGAGTTATTTGGCGGCCAAGAAAGCTTTTTTTTACATTATAAATAAAGATGACTCCGAGTGCATTCACTGGGCGTTGCGAGCAGCTTTAAAGTTATATTCAGACTACGTAAACCACCAGTTGGAAATTAGTCCAAAATATAGGATACAGGAAAATAGAAATTCTATTTACACTAAGGAAGACGGCTTAAATTTCACAAATATAAATTTTCCAACACCAATTTCACAAATAGCATGAATCGAATCACAAAACAACTTGGCAATTAACGTATTTGGTTATATTGAGAAAGAAGGCTTCCATCTCCTTTATAAAACTAAACGCACAGAAGAGCCCATTAATTTTCTTTATTTCACAAAAGGTGAAACGAGTCATTGTTGTAGGATTAAGTGCTTTTCCCGGTTAATGGGCGACAGTAACAACCACCAAGGTAAAAAACATTATTGTTTTAAATGTTTAAATCACTTTCAAACGAGAGAAATACTCGGCAGACATCAAGAAAAATGTCAAGGAATGGAGATGGCACCTGGTAAAACAGTGTTTCTTGTAAAGGGACATTTCAACTCAAAACTATAAGGTAAAGGCGAGCAAGCCGGGAAAAACTAAAAAAAATTTTCAAAGATTTTCTAAAATCAAATGACTCTAACTGTAGTCACTAAATTTAAATACGCTAAATTAAATTTAACGCTAAATTAAATTTAAATTAGTCGCCGCTCACGCAACGTGGTTAATCATCAATGGCTACGAATCGCAACGAGATTTAATTGCTCAGGCAAAACTAGACGTGCAAAACCAAAGGCACCGCATTTGTTTAGTGAGAAAGACAAAGACTGGTAAAGAAGTTTACAAGCTGAATGAAATATTTATTCTCGATGATTTATGCGCCGCTTAAAAAATGAAAAATAAATAGAAACTATATAAAAGAAAATGATAAACCGTAAAACAAATGTGAATCGTTATTTTTGCAAAGACATGAGAAATTCAATTGATTTGATAGATTCCTACAATTGTCTGCGCTGTTTAAATTCCGACTGTTTATTCAAATGTACCAACTGTAAAGAGTGCCACGATTGTCACAAATGCAACGACTGCACCAGATGTAATAATTGTGCCACTTGTAACGACTGTGGCAGGTGTATAAATTGCGTGGCTTGTTTCAATTCTTACGACTGTCAAAATTCAAATGCCTTGGACAGTTGCGAAGACTGTTACAAGTGCAGCAGTTGTATAGAGTGTTTTGGTTGCACTGCCTGCACCTGCTGCGTAAATTGTATTGTGGCACGCGCGAGAAAACGATTCACTGCTCAATTCCGTGACAAAACTTGACGCTGATTTATACGAAATTGGATTAATGATTGAATATGACGTTGACGTTGAAAATTTAATTAAAGTAGAAATCCGACCCGAGTTAAGAGTCTTAGCTGAATAAAAATGAGAAAAATTTCTGACAAAGCCGGGAAAATCAGAACCATGTCAACCCAAGTATATATCGTTTCAGATGACCACGTGCGTCTCAATGCTGACAACTGCGACCCCAATGTCACCTACGGTCCCTTTGATCCGAGTAATTTAATCATTTCAAAAAACGTGATTAAAGAAGGCATTCACATGAGTCAGTGCAGCTCGCCTATTTTTATCATCACAACGGTCAAAATAAACGTCTGTTGATTATGACGATCGAGCCCTGTTACGGCATAAACCCGTTGTATAAATACAGCTACCGAGATAAAACACCGGAAAATTTAGTAGAGTGCCAAATCTGCTATCAAATACAACCAACTACCGCGGGCATACTCGATAACATAAATTTAGCCGTTTACCTGTCTATGGAATTTCGAGCTGGCACAGGGTCTAATCTCCCGTCTAATACAATAAATGCTTATAAAGCTAGTCGTGATATTGTTGACCTTAATAAAATAGAATATGTGGTTAAAAAGCCTTATAAGGACAAGGACTGAATGTACGTTAAAATAGATCTCTATGCCTCTTTATTTGATCACGGAAAGCGGCCCATTGACTCGTCAAATATCGAGAAATTTATCAATATGAGATGTGACGCACAATCTTTTATTTGCCCAAAAGACGTCTATTACAGAACTCACGGTTCACTGTCGTGTGGTGCCATTGTTAGTATCAGTGGCTATGTTGAAAATTAGAAACGACGGACTATTTTCAAACAAGTCGGCATTGCAAGCGTTTAGTGGATTTGAATCTGAATCCCCCTTGAAATTAAAGGTGGATTAAATTTGAATTCTATGTTGTTGTCTTGCGCTATCTTTAAAAGCTGGTGATATGATTTCCATGTGAGATTTTTAAATTGTCGTTGACTCTCTTGAACCGCTTTTATGAGCTCCGACTGTGTGTTGTTTGCGCTTTAGTGCTGGTAATGGAATGTTAATGGAATGTCTTTTCCACTTTGCCGAATCCCGAATTCCACTTTAGAAATTCAAATATTGTTTCATACCTTCGTAAGAGTGAGAAAGGAGAGCAAGTTTTAAACTATGCATGAAAACCATTTGCCCAACCATACTCCGCCTCCCCCCCCCAAAAAAAAAGAAAGAAAAAGAAAAGAAACAAAAATTGTTTGGAAATACTCTGCAATGTTTCCACCTTTTTTATTTTCTGTTGTGAAATTTTTTAAAATCGATGTAATAAGTACGGCATCCTCACCCCTTGATTTCCCTCTGGAGTGATCGTCAAAAACTTGATACAATTAATCAACGAACAATTCATGTGTCACTCCACATGTATAAAATCAAATTCCATTTAAAAACCATGTACATGTACAGTGAAGTTGTAGAGTATATCTTGCATGCAACAGTCGTTGATCACAACATGTTAATTTTGGACATTGACCCCTCTTTTTTATTTGGCAGTGGTGCGACAAAATTTAGAAAGTTAACATTAAATCTGAGCCTTAAAATGCATGTTTGTGACTGAAAACTTTGCTTTTCATCGAACACTTCCGAGGACGCATTCAGTCATGGTACACCAAGCTTACTAGGTTTGTTTAATTCAAGAAATATGTAATAAGTCCTCCATTTTGCAGCCACGGTTTTATTGTTTTTATGCGGTACTAACCTTGTTTCAAGGTGTCTATGCGGATTCACAGAATGAATTCCCCACATGTGCAATAAGCATATGTGTGAGAATGAACTTGTTTGCACCTTGATTTCAATTCATGTACAGTGCAATTTTGTGCATGTACCGTACCGTGCTGCTGCACTGTGCCAGCTGCCGCTGTGTGCTTGAGGCTCACACATGCCACAGAGCACTTGCAAGTATCGGTACTGCTGAGGACGACCCAGTCATGAGGTGGAGTGGTGCAATTTAGCATATTGCCACCATAATTTGTTTATTAAAAGCAAGCATTTTAAAACAGTTTGGTAGGCATTTATTCATGGTTCTTTGTGGAAAGTTTTTCTTACTTTTGAAGCCATTCTTAGTGGAAAATTTTGCTAGTTCCGTTTCCAGTAGTGAGTCTGTCCGTTTTCCACCACCGTATAAAATCATTGGCTTTACTCACCCAATTGACCTTTTTCACAAGTTGTCTATATTCAATTGGCAGTGAGGTTTAATTTTTGTATTTGTTGAACCAAATATAAAAAAACGAAAGCAATGAAATAATAGTTCATTACAGATACATTTCATTTACAATGATGAATAATTTAAATGTGTGATTTACTCTATCTAACTGTTTCAAGCATTATATTGATATGAGTAATTTCAATACATGCAATATCAAAATTAAAGTGCATTGAATAATCTCGTAAATGTATTACCATCACATTGACATTTTTGATACAAAATAAAACTGAAGTAATGGAATAAAAGTTCATTTCAGATAAATTTCATTTACAATGTAGAATAATTTAAAATTGATTCATTAAATCTAAATTTTTTAAGCATTGTACAATGTGATTAAAGATTTAATACATGTGATAGCAATATTAACCAGGCATACAACTTTTCCTCAGATGATTTCCTTGCTAATATCCTCATTTTCCACTTCACACTCATGCCATTAAAATTTGAAAAACACTGTACAAAGTCTTATAAAGATAGGAATTTCCTCATTTTGTGTCAAAGCCAAATCCAGTATTAAATGTTCAATCACATCAACATACCAAAAACTAGCTCTGTACACACTGAGCTCCCCAGAATTGTCTTAGCAGTCTCTCATAGTGTTAGCTATTGTTCTGTTTTGTAATGAGAAAGCTCACTTTCAGATGTTCATGTTTCCTACAGACTAGAAGAGTATACCACTCCAGAAATCTTTCGTACTCCTCTCAATGAACTGGCCCTGACAATCAAATTGTTACGACTGGGCAACATAGCAGACTTCTTGAACAAGGCTATTGAACCACCACCCCTGGATTCAGTTGTGGAAGCTGTAGCTGCCTTGAAAGGTACCTTACAATCCTTGGCCTTTACTTCTTTTTGTTTCTCTTAAGAATTGACATTGTGGATAAGACATTTTGCTATATTTTTTTGACAGAATGCTTCTTTGGGGGAGGGGACAAAATGCATCAAACACCATCAATAAAATATAACATTTTTCCCAATCTTGAGAGATCGGTGGGTTTACCTTGCCATTTGTCTTTTCTTCATGTTAGTCCTTAATTATGAAAACATGCACATAAAGCCTCTAATAACAACTTATTTACAACAACTTATTAACCTCTGTTAAAGCAATATCACCCTGTGGAAACTTACTTAAGAGAGGTAAATAAGTTGTCAGGAGAATCCCTGTACAAGGTCAGGAACACATTGTAAAGTGTACCGATGATGATTAAATGTAGAGTAATGGACAATAAAAATGTATATAGTCAGTTTTCTTGACCCTAATTTTCGTAACATGTTTCCATTTTAATCATCAAATACACTTTCGAAAATTGGTGTTTAATTTTCTAAAATCATAGTTTTGTTAATAATGCACACTTGCAAACCAATTATTAACCACTTCCTGCCGGGGCAGTTATCAATGTTGATGATGCTGGGCCGGGATATTTATCATTTTATCTGTTTTCAAAATTCTTTAAAAATTCCTGTCTTCATTTACTGGACACTTACAAACACGTGAAGGACGGTCTGGTGTCCACTCTAGCCTGACAGACAAAATCTATTGACGCCTTGAGTATTTCAGCTAGGCATGCAGCCTTTTAAAAAAAGCTCAGATTGTACGGTGTTATATAACTTTCTTTTGTTAACGAACCTGGCTCAGTGCACCGCTGACCTCTTTTCAATAGGGGCCAGATTAGCATGCAGCAGTGCTGTGTGGCTCATGACTGCGGTGGTGGAGCACTTTTGTCCCCGGTGGTAATCCGCTCGCTATAAATGCCCCAAACCCTGGTATACGATTTAAAAAATAAGGCTGGATTATCTCCACTTTTGAGAGTGAAAAATGTTGCCAATGCGCAGCAGCCTGGTCTTTTGTTTGGAGTACGGTCTTTTGTTACAGGGCTCTATTTCCTTCGTCTGAGTTCGGAGACCCCAGCCACGCATATAAACCATACGTGTCCGGATCCGGAATCCCCGGCAGGAAGTGGTTAAAGTGAAGGGAGGCACTTAGAGCATGAACCGACATGCATGGTTCCAAATGGTTGGAAAGAAGCCTGTGTTTTGATAATCTTATTGAATTTGATATGATCTGAATGGCCTAAAGTGTGAGTTAAACAAACAAGTACATGTACCCTATTTTGAACATTCAGCCGTATTGAACATTGTCCTTGGCTCCCAATATTTTGTGCACAAAACCTACTGAACATTATGCAGTTGCAAATCAACTGAGATTCGCCACAGCATGCATCAGAGATCGATCCTGAGTGGTAGCTTCATAACTTTTTGGATAAACTAAATGTCAATTTTGTAACTCAAAATTTAATGAAAAACAAAAATAACGGATACATTTCTAGAAACCTCAAACGTGAATGCAACAGCAAAACATCACAATAACAGGAATTCATAGTATCACAAGACGGACACTTCAGTTAGACAAGAGAGGGTGCTATTCAACATGGCAACAAAACATTCGGCGGTTGATTTCGCTTTACTGAACAACCACTGTACTGAACATTTAGTGTGAACCCCGTCGTGTTCGTTATAGCGGCGTTCCACTGTATATACATTGTACATTTACATTGCAAACTGTACATGTAACTGTTTTTATGGATTCTTTGATATTACACTTAGAGGTCAATGATGCATTCACAAGAAGTTTTCTGTTCATTAAAATCAATGATCAAGAAACCCTTAAGCATGTTGAGAGATAAGGATCTGACTTCATGTTTAGTCATTGGAACTCTGACAGAGTTCAAAATGTTTTAGAAATTTTGTATAGTATATCCTGGTATTAGTCAAGTGTGCCTTGCAAGAAATTGGAACCCTGCTGTTAAGATTATTGTAGTAATTGATTGTAGGGAGATGAACCAATGCAGTTTGTGTCATTGTCATATTTAGATATCTACAATAATAATTATGAAATCATCCTAGCTATTTCTACCTGAAATATCAGTGAAAGACCGCTTTGGCACACAGAAACTATATTTGGCACATAACCAGTGTGGAATTAAAAGGTTTTTTATGTGTATCATCTTTGAGTTTTGAGAGGCTGTTGATGTGCTGTTTTTGTTGCAGATATGCATGCATTGGATATGCAAGAAGAGTTGACTCCTCTTGGTAAGATTCTTGCCAAGATGCCTATGGAGCCTAAGTTGGGCAAGATGATCATACTTGGCTGCTGCTTGTTGTAAGTAGTATGCTATAACAAGCACAAAGGAAAAGTCTTAATAGAATTATTCTATTCAACTAACTAGAATGAGATTTGAATATGTATCTTTCAGAGCACTGCATCAGATCAGTAAGCTAAGTAGTCCCTTTACTGGAATTATCAAGTTTTTGTCTTTTGTCTCTTGTTTAACTTCTTAGCCATCTTGAAAGCAGCACTTTAACAGACATGGACAAAAACTGCCAACTGAAGGCTTGGTAGCCCAGGCATTTGTGTCATAAGGCCCTTTCACATGAACTGCTGGAAATGCATGTCTGCAATGTTTGGTGTTGAGTGTCTGTCATAAGGGTCCCCTGCAATTTTGATGGTACTACACAGCACATTAGCAAATGTCCCTCAGTTTGCAGCATCGGCATTGCATCACTGGTACTGCAGTATTCTTTGAATGGTGGAAGTATAGAGCACCAGTGAATTCCCAGCCATAATATGCTTGTATGCTTTTTTGCAAGTTTCCACAAACATTTGTGTATTAATTCAATGACAAAACCTGATTTGCTTTTTGGAAGCTGCCTTAGCTTTTCCCTTATCTGTCTTCTAGATTTTGTATCCCTTTTTCACGAGTGATCCTGCGTGTTTTTCATTTATGGGACACACAAGTAGATACATTAGCGGTAGATTTTCAGTGTAATGGCCTTGTTGCCAGTGCCAGTATTGCACCTGATAACATTGTTGTCCGATTTATAAACAGAACATAACAACTGTGAATCACGCTGTGAAGAGAATATTTTCTTTTTCCTCTCCCTTCTTCATGGCTCCAAAGGAATTTTTTCAAAGAGAAATAAAGTGCAATTTGTCTTGTTATTCATTGCTCAGACTGGATCCCTCCCTTTTTATATGAAAATCTCTAAAAATACGTGTGTGGAACCAGATGGTTTTGAGACTATCACTAACGGGTGGTATATTCGTAAATCGCCCTTTTGAACGACGGCAAAAGCAAAGGTGTGCATGTGTAATGGACTTCAGCGCACACCATCCTTGCGAAAATTGCATGCTTTACATTCAGTTCACACAACCAATCCTTGTGATAATCGAAAGGATTTGCAACCCTGCGAAATTTTGGAGGAGGTCTTGATTCGTGTGACGATCACACATGGACCCTTGCGACAGGGTGACTTGGATACATTTTCCCACAACACTATATCTATGCGATTTCACCACAAGGGTCCCTGGTTTTGTGCACTCATGTAAAAGGGCCTATTGGTGCAGCCTGCACGTAAATCTCGTTTGAAAGAGCCTTAGTGTTAGAATTGAAATGCCAGGCCCTTTCAATTTACAGCAGTGAACAAATTCTGAAACAAACTATATAGAGAAACTGACTAGGTGCATATAAATTATTATAAAGATATACAAAGAAATTGACCAGTGAACAAATTGTGTAATATTTCAATCTTTCTTTTTCTGTAAATCTCTTGAAGTGTTGGAGATGCCATGAGCATAATAGCAGCCAGCACAGTTTTCTCAGAGCCTTTCATCACCCACATGGGCAAGGTGACTAACTTACACAAGTCATACTGTGGCATTCGTCACAGTGACCACGTCGCTGTACTGGGATGCTTTCAAGAATGGGAACAGACTCTGTAAGTAAACATAGAAACACGTTTATCTTTGTTAGAGGTGGAGGATGTGAAGGATGTGAGGAGGGTTCATTGAGATCGATTGGAGGGACAATTTGGGAGGTGGGGTGTAAGGTTATAATATTTTACCGTTGAACATTTCTCTGATTTGGCTCACTGTTTATGATGTAAATTCATTGAGCACTTGAAGCATGTTGTTATTTAGGTCATTAAGGTCATTCTTCAATCATTTTCAATGGAAGATGAGCACAGCCATCTCTATGCTTAAAAGCGGACTATCTTTGGTCCTGTTTTCCACCCCAAAGACATTGCGAGATTCTCCTTTTACTTTTTAAAATTGATTCCTGTTGTTCATTGTTTTTTGTTTTTCCATTCCTAGTTCTGGTGTTTGATTTAAAGTGAAAAATGCAAATTGAAATATGTGTGTAACTAAAATGAACAAATGCATTTTATCTCAAAACAGAAAAATGTGCAGAAATTCTCTGTCCTCTTTAAACAGACACAGAATCTCTTTTTATTAGGTCCAATGGGGGTGAAGATGGTGCTATGAATTACTGTGATCGCAAACAGCTGCAGATGACCTCCCTTCGTATGATCTACGAAGCTAAGGTAAAGCTTGCAATTTTCTTTTTTAAATCCACATACAGTAAAATTTCGATGCCTCGAATCTCTGTGGAATGGACAAAAAATTTGAGTTATCCGAAATTCGAGTTAAAAGAAGGTCCCAATTTCTTTTGAAGTTAAGTCATTATTGCAATGTGTATCTTAACACGTACTTATACACTGACACACATTTACCGTAAATCTCCTTACCATGACTTTTGAAATGATATTGTGGTTGTTTTATAATTTGGTGCCGCAAGTTTTTGTTCATAGAAAGACATTTTTGCGGACGATTTTTGTTGTCAATCGGCTGACAAATAACACATTAAATGTACTGTAAATCATTTAAACTGTGTACCTTTGTGTGGCAAATCTTTCTTTTGCGTTGTGTATTTGTAAGGCATTGTGGTGGTCCCATTTCTGATACCGTACCACAACACAGCGCCTTGCACATGCCTACTCAGGCAGGGTTTCCCGATGAGTCAGACATATGTTTTCATCATTAAGGTGCACCTTTATGCGCTTCAATAAAATTTTGCAAAAACAAAAATATTGGTGTCTGTTTTTATTTTTGTTCTTCGTTCTTTAATTTCAAACTTTGTTTATTTTTGGGAAGTGAGATTTGGCTACGCAAAAGCTCTTCGGTGCAGTCATGTGGTTGGTCCACTGTGTGTGAGCACGCTGTGGTTTGTGGCTCTAATTGGGCAGCCATGGCACAGGTGAGCGCGGGCAGTTGGGCCAGACCATTAGGCCAGACCTAACTTACGTACGAGTGGTGCGTGTGGCATACACAAAGATCTCCAATGCATTGCCGCAGCCAACGCAAAGAGCCATCAGTTGGCCTGCCAACGCACTGGCTACAATGGGCCATGATAATCGATCATCATTGTAGCATGCTTGCAAGTGTTCTGGTGTGAAAAGACGAAGTGTATGTGTCAGAAATGATTCATAACTAGGCCTGTGTTCTGTTTACACTTTCTAGAAGTATTTTGGTGGCGGTTTCTTTTGGATCTGCTACACAAAAACTTCCAGTTAAACAAATCCAGCAACATGAGCAGTTCGAGTTACAGATATGTTTTTGTACATAAAAGCCTATTCTTTCGGTGGGAATCAATTATGCTTTGAGTTAAGCAGAGTTTCGAGTTAACCGACTTTGAGTTGAGATTTTACTGTACAAGTACTTTATTGTGTAATTACATTGAAAATGAAGAGAGAAATTGGAAAATTGTGGTCTAGGTTAAATAAAGAAAACACTTGTAGAAGGACATTCTAATCCAAGTCATGTAGCAGTATTCTCCATAGACGAAAATTTAGTCGGGTGTAATGGTATCCTGATTGTTCACTGCAGTATGTATCCATAAAGTATAGACTAAAACAAATGTCCTGAAAATGAAATCTGTCCATTGATATTGATAGAGGAAGGTGTCATGCTTTGAATAACGTGATCTTGACTGAATTTCATGCCTGAGTACCCAGGGCTGTTTTTATAGTCTCCTGTGTTCACATACCCCTGCCCAACCTACATATGCAAATTTCCCATGTGCCTATTACAATTCGCTGAAAAGACTTGATTATGCATTCTGCCCCTTGATCCTCCACAATGCACTGTGGTCCTGCCGCCATGTTCGTCCTTCTTTTCTCAAGGCCTATCGTTTAAGGACGTGTCTTTATGGTATTTTCGGAGTATCAAGTTCCATAACCTTTTACATATGTGAATTGCTTTGATTCCTATTTACGCATAAAGAGTGATTGCTTACCTATTGGTAAGAGTGCTTACTTTCATGTGTCCTTTTTTTTTTTGTTCTTTATATCCCTTTTTTTCTGTGCATTATCTACAGGTTTGGATGTAACCGACCAAATACCATGGTAAGTGTTGCGTGTGGCCGTTGAACAGGGCTCACGGGCAACCCTTTGTTCTCAATGTGGAGCATGCATTCGAAAAATAACGACCCAATGCTGGATGGGTCTGGCCGTGGAGCGGGGCATGGCGGGCTGCCCCGCTCCTTTGTGATGTTGTTTTTGCATTAT